TCTACCACTTGAGCCACAGCGCCACTTCCGGCTTTTTTCTTTTTTTGCTTATGTGGTGCTGAGGAATTGAACCCAGGGCCTCTGGCATTCAAGGCAAGCACTCTACCACTGAGCCACCTTCCCAGCCCCCCCCCCCCCCATTTTCAACATAGTATCTTATACATCTCATTGTTACAATGGGTCAACCTGTATCATTATTTCAGCATTTTGTTATTTCCCTTCCCTTCCCCAAATTAGAAAAATGTATATACAAGATGCAGGGCATGGGAATCAAATCCAGTGAAAACAGGGGTTATACCAATTCTTTCCTCCTTTTAAGTTTCTTAAATCAGGCATTCTGTCATTGCAACAAGAAAAATGAATTAATATGAAGCTCTTAACTTTTTACCTAACTCTTGCCTGTATTTGATTCCCCTTTGTTTATAACGTGATTTATCTTTTTCTCCTTTATAAGTTTTTGTAAATAAAATCATATTCGATCATGCTATAAGAATAGGAGTTGTTTCTTAAGTCATCTTTTAGGACACTAAATTTATAGCTGAGCTGCTTCTTATAAGATCATAGTCTTGAGTTGGATCCCTTCTATTTGCCCTCCAGATTGTCTGTGGATGTTTGCTGAACAAGTTTGGTTTAGCATGTGGCACAAAGTAGAGAGGCATTGAGAAAGAGAATGAAGTTGGAATGTTTGTTCCCCTAGTTCTCTCTCTCTCTCTCTCTGTTTAATGTGGTACCAAGGAATCGAACCAAGGACCTCATGCATGCTAGGCAAGCACTCTACCACTAAGCCACATTCCTTGCCCTTCCCTAGTTCTTTATCTTAAGTCTGCATCTTACCAGGCAGTTCTGGATCCATAGCTCTTTTTGTCTCATTCTTCACACCCTTCCAGTCTTAGAGACAGGAGAGTATCTTTTAGGCCTTAAGTAGCTAGCTGCCGAGTATTGTGCATTCCTTTGATCCTACTCTTACCTTTGTAATTTATCCTGATGAACGGTTGTTCAGAGTACTCAATGTAAGTTGCTACCAACTTACTACTGAGCCTCTGAATTATTACCACACCAAGCAGAATATGATTGTTGATGAGAGGACATGTGTATCTCTCATGCTTCAGCCTGAAAACCTCTGTGAGGTTTACCAAAGTAGATTCTGCAGAGGTGGGATTCTGCTATACAAGATGGCTGTAATCTCATATTTGAAAAAAGAAAAAAATTCCCTATTGTTAACATAGAAGATGACAATGAAACATTCAACTCCTGACAAGGACTAAAAAAATCCAGAAAAGTTTAGGATCAATTGCTGTTCTTGAAATCTGCTATGTGTTGTAGATAGGTAGGTAACAATCAGGATGATCTCCTGGGCTGGGAAATAGTGTTATTTCTTTATGTATAGAGGATTTCTTACCTGGTCAAAGGAACACTAGTGACTGAGGACACGTAATACAGAGTTTTCAAAAAGCAAACGGTGTGTGTGTGTGTGTGTGTGTGTGTGTGTGTGAGAGAGAGAGAGAGAGAGAGAGAGAGAGACAGACAGACAGACAGACAGACAGACAAGGACAGAGACAGAGACAGAGAGACAGATAGAGATGGAGACAGAGAAACACACACAGAATTACATAGTGGAACAGGAAAGCATCATCAATACAGAAATGGCAAACTAGAATGCTGGTAGTAGAGAAAGAAGGCCTTCATATCTGGGATGCAGTCAGGGATGTAATAAGTAATGCAGATGGAAGAACTGGAGTACTGCATTTACTTTGCTAAACAAAGTGAATTGACAAAATGCATTTATACATAACATACACAGATCACTTCTCCCCTTAGCCCTCCCAATAACAACCACTCTGGAAATTAGAGTTCAATAGATTTAATTGTAAAAAAAAAAAGCCTAGAATTAGAAAAAAATGACAATATTTAAACAGTTCTGGAGTATCTTGTCATCTTTGGAAATGAAAATGGAAAATAAAATTTTGTTGCCATCGAGTCATAATTTTTGAAATATATGAAACTCACATGGGAAACTGGAATTGATGGTATCTCCTTGTATATTTTTATCTAGAACACTCTCAGGGGATCAAGATTGCCCAGAATTTATTAAACAATATTTTAATAATTGTACACATGAAACAGTTCTTTTTGGTTTATTTCCACTGCCTCCTAGATTGCCGTTTGTCCACATGAAACTGACACCATATGTATGTCCACCATTGATTCAGTGTCACATTGACACATTCTGACTTGCACATTTCACTCTAATGCTGAAGACATAGGCACTAAGCAATTCTCGATTTAATCTTTCGGATATGGAAAAGACTTAAAATTGAGATAAATTTAAAAATTATATAAAAAACTATGATATGTGCAGACTCATTGATATCTAGTAGTGGTTTAAAAATCCAACAAATTGCCGGGCACCAGTGGCTCACACCTGTAATTCTAGCTACTCAGGAGGCTGAGATCTGAGTATCATAGTTCAAAGCCAGCCAGGGCAGGAAAGTCCATGAGACTCTTATCGCCAATTAATGGCCAGAAAACTGGATGGTGCTATGGCTCAAGCGGTAGAGCACTAGCCTTGAGCTGAAAAGCTGAGGGATAGCACCCAGGCCCAGAGTTCAAGCCCCACGACCAACCAAAAAAAAAAAATTGAACAAATTTTCTGGCCAAGTAAAAATGAAACTAAATTGGTAAAGGAGAAATAACACATCTTAAAATGCTGCAGTTTTTTTTTTTTTAATGATTAAGCATAAAGGTTGAGAAACTTTATTCTTTCATTCTCTTTTCAAACTCATTACAGATAAAAATTTTAAATTTAAGTGAGAAATAACATTTATATCCACAAATTGTTGGCTCACACCTGTATTCCTAGCTACTTAGGAGACGGTGATGAAGAGGATTGCTGCTTGATCAGAAAAATATTTCTTGAGACTACATCTCAACCAATAGCTGAGCACAGTGTTATATGCCTGTCATCCTGGTTACATAGGAGACTCCTACCTGTCAACTAAGCTGTGGTGGGAAGTTTATTTGCCAATCCTGGGGCTTGATCTCAGGGCCTGAGCGTCTTTTGTTCAAGGCTAGCACTCTACCACTTGAGCAACAGCACTACTTCTGGCTTTTTGTTTATGTGGTACTAAGGAATTGAACCCAGGGCTTCATGCAAGCTAGGCAAGCAATCTACTACTAAGCCACATTCCTAGCCCCATGTGGTGGGAAGTTTAAATAGGTAGATTGAAGTCTAGGATGGTCAGGACCAAAACTGAGGCCCTATCACAGAGTGTAAAGGGCTGGATGTATAGCTGTCTCCATAGCTTCTTTGTCTAGCCAGAAAAGAGCCCTCAAGTTCAAACTCCAGTACCACAACAAAGAAACCACAGAAATCCAAAAATAAGTAGAACAATATTTAAACAATAAAACTTACAACAGAACAAATAGATATTAAAAATGTGTATACATATTGTTTTTGAGCCAAATGTGAATTATGTGGTTAGAATTCCCAGTGTTAGGCCAACATCTCACATGCAACTAGACCTAATGGTGTGTTTCAGATGATGAGCAGGGGTAAACATAAAGGCCAAAGGCACAGATTTTGTAGTTAATGGAGTTAAGTGGATTCAAATTTTAGCTTTCCTAATACTGAATGAACTATCATGCAAGTCCCAGTAACCTTTGAAGTTTCAGTTTTGTCACTAGTGAAATAGCGGTATGTAAAAAAAAAAAAAAGCCATAAAATTGAATGAATTCATATGTGCTAACTATTGGACTCAGTCTATGGCAAATGCTCAGTTTGATAGCTACTTCTAAGATTCAAATGTACTTTTTCTAATGTAATCCTTCTATAAGTTTTATGTGATTTTCACTTTCTTTGGGAAGGAAACCCATTCAAATTCCTGTAGTAGGATATTAATTGGAAAGGTGTTCTTTGGCATATGGACTAAATTCTGGCACAGATTATTTTGAAGTCATCAGTTATAAGTGGCCAACTTTCTTTCCTAGTTCCATAGTGCCTCAATCTCCTCCAATTGTCCTGGAACTCGGGGGCAAAAACAAAAACAAAAACTCTAGTGGTAAGAAGAGTGTTAAGGATAAAGAAAGGAAGTTGCTGCTTATTTAAAATTTGTAAACAAGATAAAGTAGGCTCTGTTTTCTTTACCACTCTTTAAAAGATTGATTTGTTTCAAGGACCTATATTATTAGGCAATGTAGTCTGTGCTCATTCTGGTATTCAGCCAGACAGATAAAGAAATTGACATAAAGACTCAAAGGAAATAATCATGACTCTTGCAAAACAAAAGACAAAAGGGTGTAGAAAGGATCACAATTCAAATGGGAACCCGGGCTTGCTAGTCCCAGCTCAGCACAAGGCTTTGCACATCTCCTTGACATCAGTCAGCTGGATGTCAGCTGGATGTAAGGCAGTTTTGCTAAGGGGTGTGAAGAAAACATTTAAGTCTAAAACCTATTCCCTGATCCTCAAGGAGCTTACAGCAGCCTTGGAGAGATTAGCCCTGTAACTAACACTTCAGGGCGGTCAATGAAACGTGACAAAAGAGTTGGCAGTGGCCTTGAAGGAGGAGGAATTCACAAGTTCAGGATCATTTGGGGTCAGGAACTTGTCTAGGAAGGCTTTTAAGAGGTGGGATGCAAGCAAGGTGCGAAGTGGAGAGTAGGGTTTTAGGCGTGCGGAAAGCAAGCCAAGGGCATAGCAAGCAACGGACAGACAGACAGACAGACCGACCGGCAGACAGACAGACAGACAGACAGATAGACAGGGCAACCGAGGCCAAAGGCACCTAACGCCTCCGGCCAGGGCGCATGCGCAGCAGGGGTGTCCCGCCAGGGGAGTCTATCCCGTGGGAAGCCGGCCAGGACCCGCGAGCGCGAGACCCCGCGCGCGCCGAGGCGGGAAAAGGCCCGCGCATGCGCACCTCGGCGCCCCGGGCTGGCCAGGATGGGGAAGGGGAGGTGGAGTTTCCAAGAGGGAACTTGACCCGTTAGGAGCCGCGGTCATGGCGGCGCGCTCGCCGGCGTCGCCGGCCGCGCCACCTCCAGCGCGGCCTGTGGGCCCCCGGTCCCCACGCGGGGGGCGGAGGGCCGAGGCCCACGCCGTGCGCAGCGAGGCCTCGGGCGTCTCCGGCGGAGCGCGGGAGGTGGTGTCGGATAGGTGTGACACGCTGTGGAGGGGCGAGGAGGGGTCGGGGGCCCGGCGGAAGCCGGCGGGGGCGGCCGCGGCTCACGCTCCCCTCCTCAGCGCGCCCGCGGGCGCCCGGCGGCCGGAGGGCATCTCGGTGGAGGAGGCAGAGGTGGCCCGCACGCAGCGGCTGGAGGAAGAGCTGAGCGGCGTGAAGGAGGAGCTGGCCCTGTGTCAGGTACCGAGGGCCGCCCGCCCGGGCCTCCTCAGCGCGGGCCCCAGGCCCGGGCGCCCCGCGGGGCTGGGACCCGCCCCTCTCGGAGGCGCCGCCTCCAGGCGGTCAGGCCCTGACCACCTGGGGCGGCCCAGGACACTGGCGCCGGACTCCCCGTCCTGCCCTCCCGCTCCTCTGCCCCGTGCCCAGCCCGGGGTGGGAGCTGGGGCGGGCGTGGGGGGTGGGGACGTGCCTCTGGTTTGCCCCAGGTTTGCTTGTTTTTCCTATGGACGATCCCCGAGGCCGTGTCCCAGGGCCACACCGTGTCTGTCTTGGTATCTGGTACCCAGTAGTGGAATGCCTTCACCGTTGGAAGAGCAAAGTGTAAAAAACATGTTGTTGGTAAAAATTCATGGATGATGTAGCTACTTTTCAGTTTACAAACTCACACTTGTCCGTGTTTTTAACACTATCCAATGTAAGTTGTAAACACAAACCCAGGATTTTCAAATTACTGTTAGTTTTTAGGAAATCTCCAGGCTGGGGACCTCACACAAGCTAGATGATAATGATACTTATTTATTAACCCACTATAATAACTCCCTCGTCTATGAATGAGGAATATCATTTTGTGTGATCTTGCCTGTGGAAAGAAAGCATTTGCTAAATCAGTTGCACTAATATTACTTTCCTAATATTTTTAGAGTTTGTGTTGATAGTATTAAAGAGGAGCTTGATTGTCCTCATGCTCGTGGAGATTTAATTTTACTTTAGCACCATATTTTTCTTGATTTTACCAGAATTTTTTGAACAGGGTTAGGAAATTACATGTTGCTATTTACTCAATACATCCTTTTTTTTTTTTAAAATTGAATTTAGGGCCTCTCTGGCACTGCGAGGCAAGTTGTTCTAATCCTTTGAGCCGCTCTGTCACTCTTTTTACACTGATTTTTTTTTTTTTTTTGAGATAGAATCTTGCTTTATGTAAGCTTGGTCTGCAGTCCTCCTATCCTTGCTTTCGCTTGTCACTAGGATGACAGTTGCACACTAGCCCAGCCATTGTATTGGGATGACAGGTATCAAGTACTGGACCCTCTCACCTCTACTTTGATTGGAAAGGAGTCTCTAAAGTTTTTTTTTTTTTTTTAATTATTGTTGGTGCTACTCTTGAACTGCAGTCCTTCTATCTCTCTGTTTTTAGCTCTCAATTAGGGATTATAGGATTGAGCTACTTTGCTTGGTAGCAACAGCAGGTTTTTAAATTTTTTGGTGCTGGTTCAGTCCTGGGACTTGAACTCATTGTTCCTCAGCTTTTTTACTCAACACTGTTGCTTTGCCACTTGAGCCATAGCTCCACCTCTGGCTGGGTGGTTAATTGGAGATGGATCTCATGGACTTTCCTGCCTGGTTTGGCTTTGAACTGTGATCCTCAAATCTCAGCCTCAGCTAGAATTACAGGTGTGAGCAACCCTATATCTTCAAATCACTTAACTATAGGTGTTTAAGTCACTGTCTTCAAAATAGGTAACAGTTAAAAACTGCTTAATATCGGGGCCAGTGTGTGAATAGGATCATCAATTTAGATTGATAAAACAATGAAATTCATTGACTAGTGGTAATCTTTTTTTCTGGTTGGAGATCTTTGCTGAATCAAAGAAATTTAGGGGCTGTATGTGTTTGGCCTTTTCTTTTTTCCATTTTTCTATTCATTGGCAAAGAAACAAAGCAAAGAAATAAAAGACACCAATGAAGTAAAAATTTTGTGTAACTTAAACTTCATGTGGGGAGTTTAAAAGCATGATAAGAAGCCTTTTGGTAAAGTCATAAGCTAAGACACTATTTGCCCAAGTTTTCTGCACTTTCCCTATCCCCCTCCCCCTCCTAGCTATGACATTAGCTGTCTAAGGGACTTTGATTAAGGGAGTCAGTCTGTTGAAAAAAGTCTGATGGACACTTTCCCTTAAATCAATTCACTATTACATCTTTATTTAATTTCTCTTCCTGAGTTTGAACTTGGCCTTGTGCTTTCTCAATTTGCTTTCTTTGCTGGCTCTCTCTACCACTTGAGCCATGACTTTAACACTTGCTATTACATTTTTTAAAATGTGACGCTCAACATGGCATTGACCTTTGTGACCTTGGACGTATCTCTACTAGGAAGATGATTGTAATACTCTAGGCAGATGTAAGAATGTAGACATGGTCCTAATTAACTTAGAATGATGATTCTTGAGATTTTGTAATATTAATACTGTTGGTTGATCATAGACATTCCAGCGGTGTGAAATGAAATGAGGTTGGCAGCATCCCACATCATAAAACTTTAGCAGACCAGACTTCTGCTCTTGGGGAGGATTGGGAGAAATAGTGAACTCCCAGTTGTTTTATAAAAAAGTTAATTCCTCATTTTTTTACATCTTTTTAAAATTAATTGTTCTAGTTATTTATTCTCCTAAAAATCTTAGCACCTCAGAAAACGAAGTATTAAAATTGTGCTAGAAATAGCAATTCAAAGTAGGTTCATTTCAATATTTCAACTTGGTAAGTACATATGTATACATGTGCATGTGATTGCAGAAAGAATTTTCCCTTGCAGTGTGTCATGAGCTCTGTTTTGTACTCCATTTTTAGAAATGCTATTTAGATCTACATTAACTTCAAACTTTGAAGTGGAAGCAAACATGCAGTTTTGGAAAAAAAATACCTGCTATCATTAGTCCATGAGCCTAATAGTGGCTCTTTTTAATTTTTTTAATTTTGACATTTAATTTATGAGAATTCAGTCATATTTGGTGAGGGAAAATGTTTGGGTGATTCCATATACTATTCTATTCCACTGGAATGCCTAGAATAAACAGGTAGTGGAGAACAAGTGTTTTTCTTAATAAGAGCACAGGAGCCCACTCTATGTAAGTATCTAATTAAATTTTTTTTCATGTGGCTTCTAGAATAAGAGACAAACTACACATAATGCTTGGAGGAAAGCTGTCACTATTAGATTTACTAAGGATAGTAGATTAGCAGAATTTTTTTTTCTTTTTTATTGGTCATCGTTCTTGAACTCTGGGCCTGGGTGCCCTTCACCTCTTCAGCTCAAAGCTAGAACTCTATCACTTGAGCCACAGCACCACTTCTGGTTTTCTGGTGGTGTATTGGAGATAAGAGTCACGGGCTTTCATGCCCGGGCTGGCTTTGAACTGTGATCCTCAGATCTAAACCTCCTGAGTAGCTAGGATTATAGGCATGAGCCACCCAGCACCCTGCGATATTCTTAATTTTGACTGTATCTTTCCAGAATGTATTTTGTCTATCACAAAAGATACTTGTGGGATGTTTATATGTAATTTTATTAACATTTGCAAAATTCTACATGAGAAAAATTAATATAAGGTTTGTGTAGTGTTTATAAGATTTATTTTTTATACCAATATTGGGGCTTGAACTCATGTCCTCATGTTCTGACTCAGCTTTTTCACCCCACCATTTGAGCATATATCCAGTTCTGAATTTTTGCTGATTAATTGGTGATAAGGGTCTTGTAGATTGGTTTGCCTGGACTGGTTCCAAACTGCAATCTTTAGGGCTCAGTCTTCTGAGAGCTAGGATCACAGGTATGAGCTGCTAGTACCTGACAGGTTAGTCATTGTTTTGCTATCAGCCTAAAATATTTAGTAAACTTATTAACTAATTTCAAGTAAAAATTTTTTAGGAGTAAGTGAAATAGATTAATTACCAGATTTGATGATTAAGCTAACTTTTTTGAAAGTATATGATGAGGAAAGTATATGACAAGAGAATTAACAGGTACATTTTATTTTAGCACATTAGGTGATTTGAAACTTGACCAAAAATTGAAAAACTCTTATCTCCAGTTAATGAACAGAAAACTGGAAGTGGTCTTGTGGTTCAAGTGGTAGAGCACTGGCCTTGAGCTGAAGAGCTCACAGACTGCACCCAGGCCCAGAGTTCAAGCCCCATGACCAATTAAAAAAAAACCAACAAAAGGCAGTTTTGAGTGTCTGTTTTCCTAGATGGTGTCTATTTCCATGGAAGTTGATAAATAACAGGCAAAAACCATTCTACTTCTAAGAAAATACAGAGCCAAATCACCGAGACTTAGTCATCTTTCATAGACTGAGCTTTACAAACCTTGTGAGAAGGTTTAGACTTTTAATTTCAAGTTTAAATTTTTGATTTGGTATGGAAGTTCTATACTAAGAATAAGAAATATGAGTCATTTTTAAAGATTTTTTTAACTTCATTTTTTTTTTTTTTTTTGGCAATAGTAAGGTTTGAACTCAGGGCCTCACACTTGTTAGGCTGACAATCTTTTTCCTATTTTAAACTTTTTAAGAAGAGTGACCAAAGGAAGGGAGACTATAAAGGGACTGTGATTTGCAGCAGTTTATTTTAATGGTGTCTGAAATAACTTGGAAACCATTTTTTAAAAATGGGCTTTATTTTTTGCATGTGAAAGAGGTTTTTAGTAATCAGAGGTATAATCATACTGAAGATAATACAAAATATTTAAACAACATCCTCAACAATAGTTCTGAAGTTTGTTTGTAGAATTATAACTTCCCAAAGAGCTTATTTATTATTATTATTATTATTGTTATTTGGTGCAGTCCTGGGGATTGAACTCAGGCCCTGGGTGCTGTCCCTGAGCTATTTTGCTCAAGGCTAGTGCTCTACCACTTATTTGAGCTACACCTCCACTTCTGGCTTTTGTTTTCTTTTGTGGTCAATTGGAGATAAGAGTCTCACAAACTTTCTTGCCCTAACTAGCTTCAAACCATGGTTCTCAGATGTGAGCCTCCTTAGTAGCTATGATTACAGGTGTGAGCCACCAGTACCTGGTTAGAACTTGCTCTTTCCCCCCAAATTATTGACATAATGTACATCATGATGTACACACCTGCATGTACACATACATTATATTAAGCTGAGTCCCAATGGGTTTCTACCTGTAATCCTACTAGTAAGGAGATGGACATTAGTAGGATCATGGTTTGAGGCCATCCCAGGTAAAAAAGTTCATGGGACCTTCATCTCAATCAATAGCTAGAAGTGGTGGTATGTACCTATCATCCCAGCTATGATAGAAGGCTGAGAGTGGGGGATATTGATTCTAGTCCAACCTGAGCAAAACAGTTCATGAGACCCCGCCTAACCAGAAAAAGTTGGATGTGGTGCCATGCTCCTTTTATCCCAGCTAGAGTAGGTAGTATAATTAGGGAAACTGATCATGGTCTAGGCCAGCACAGGCCAATCATAACTTACCTTAAAAAATAACCAGCACATATAGGGCTGGAAGTGCCTAGCAAGCACAAAAGCCAGTACCACCAAAAGCAGCAGCAATATACAAAATAAAGAAAATCCCCTCAAGATTATGTACACTATAACTATATGTATATAAATTTTGTCAATTATGAATATAAAAGTTAAAATCCAGAAGGAATGGGTAAATATATTTCTGATCTTGGAGTAGAAAAGGCTTTTTGTAACTGTTACATAAAAATCCAAAAGCTATAATGGAAAAGAAGGCTAAATTCCAATATATGAAATTAATACTGCTTTTTTCAAAAAATTTTCCAAAGTTAAATAATCAAAAATAGACTGGGAAAAGATATTTCTGACACATTTGTAAAAACTACAGGTAAGTGTTTCAGTTAAATTCTAACATTTTTTTTTTTTTTTGGTCGGTCGTGGGCCTTGAACTCTGGGCCTGGGTGCTGTCCCTCAGCTCTTCAGCTCAAGGCGAGCGCTCTACCACTTGAGCTACAGCGCCACTTCCGGTTTTCTAGTGGTTTATTGGAGATAGGAGTCTCACGGTCTTTCCTGCCCGGGCTGGCTTTGAACCGCGATCCTTAGATCTCAGCCTCCTGAGTAGCTAGGATTACAGGCGTGAGCCACCAGCGCCCGGCTCTAACATTTTTTTTTTACATTTCATATGTAAACTTGAAATAGTTGCATGGTTCATAAGGCAAGATACTTCAATGATAGCAAAGATGCCAAATGATTTCTGTAACTAAAGGAGAGAATGGATGATGGAATCACCTACAAATTGAAGTATCTAGTCACTTGTTTAGACCCTAACAAAGAAATGAATATAAAATATATTTTCCTTCAAGTATGCCATGGGAAAATAGTGAAAAATATTAGTACCTGTGGGCTTTGGAAGATATTATAAATTAGTCACAGAGGTCTTCCTTGAGGTGATATTTCACCAAAGGCATGAATAAAGTGAGGAAATAATTTATATGAAAATCTGGAAAATAGTGTATTATGTATGAAGGCCAGGGATCAAATAGAGCAAGGAAGTCAATGTGAACAGAGGAAAGACTGATAAAAGATATTGGAACAGTATGTATGAGGCCATGTTACATAGAGCTTTGTGGGTTTGGTAGAGTATGGATTTTTTCATAATGTTATAAGGCCACATTAGAGAAAGTTGAGTTATTAGCCTAGAAGACAATTGTAAAGAGTTCAGTAAGAGTTGAGTTTTAGTGGTTGGTATTGGGATCTATTGGGCAGATAAGGCCATTTATTGATGTATTGTATATCAAGTGGGAGGAAAAGAGAACCAAGTGAGTTGATATAGGACCATTTTCTGAAATGCAGAGGGGTAAATTTTTTTTTTTTTTGGGTCCGGTTCTTTTTGCTTATGTGGTGCTGAGGAATCGAACCCAGGGCCTCATGCATGCAAGGCAAGTGCTCTACCACTGAGCCACCTTCCCAGCCCTGAGGGGTAGATTTGTGAAAGAGTAAGGAAGCAAGAATTTTATCTTGGAAAGGATATATTTAAATTGACAATTATCCACTCAGTGGAATCAAAATCAAGTAGGCAGTTGAAGATGCTAGTCTAATCTAAAAGTAGATGGAACAGCTAGTGATAGAAATGTAGAGGTCTCAGTGAAGGATAGTAGGTGTGGAAAACCAGGGAACATATTTGGTCCATTAGAGCAGTGGTTTTCTACCCTAACGGCACAGATTCACAGGATGGAGCTTTCAAAAAATGCTGATCCTTGGACTTTATTGAGACCAATTTATCAGAATCACTGATTTTTAAAAAGTTCAGTTAACAACTTAGCCAATAAGTACTGAAACTTGTGTATTGTCCATTGGATAGAAGACCTAAGGAAATGATTTTAATGTATTGTGGCAAGGGAAACCTTTGTGGAATATATAGAATGAATAGGAGTTGAAGAAATAGAGATGTGATTATAGTAACTCAGAAATTGCTATAAAGAGGTGGGTGCCAGTTGCTCATGCCTATAATCCTAGCTACTCAGGAGGCTGAGATCTGAGGATCGCAGTTCAAAGCCAGCCTGGGCAGGAAACTCTGTGAGACTCTTATCTCCAGTAAACCACTAGAAAACTGGAAGTGGTGCTGGCTCAAGTGGTAGAGTGCTTGCCTTGGGCTGAAGAGCTGAGGGACAGCGCTCAGGCCCAGAGTTTAAGCCCCGCGACCGACAAAAAAAGAAAAAAAGAAAAAAGAAATTGCTATAAAGGCAAGGACAGCTGAAAAAGCAGCAGTAGCTGCAGGGTCATTTCTTTTTGGAGTAAAATCACCTTGATATTCACTATTCCAACATTTGCATCCCAAATTGTGGGTAGTGGAAATACTAAAACTACATTACCATTATCTTTCCTGCTATGCTTGTGAAGAATCCATTGGTAAAGTTACAGGATAAGGATAATAATGGCTTAATTATTTTTTCTTTTTCAATTTTTAAGTTTATTGTACTATCTTCTCTGGTAGCAGTAAAAAGCAATTCACTTACAATGTCTTTAATTTCTTTAAGGCTGACAAAGAATTTGTATGGTCTTTGTGGAAACGTCTTCAGGTAGCAAATCCAGATCTCACACAGGCTGTCAGTTTGGTTGTGGAAAGGTGAGCTCTCAAATTTTAAAAAATGTATTTCTTTTCAGTATTAGACTTAAAAACATGCATTAATACCTTAAAGTGATTAATTTGGTGTTCAAACCAGAATATTATAATTATTGGATTATTTTAAGAGGTTCCAATTCCCTAGGTATGGAAAGAGCTTATCCATATTCTGACATATTAGGGTAGTTTGCAAGAAAGAAAAATCTATGGCTTAGATATTGTGTATGAGAAAGAGAGACAGATATATATATATATATGTAGAGAGAGAGAGGGAGAGAGGGGATGAGAGAATGTATTTTTTTAGCTGTTACAGATTAGTTTAATTTTTTTATTTTTTATTTTATTTTTTTTTAAATTGTGAAAATACTGTACAGAGGGGTAACAATTACATGGGCAAGGTAATGAGTGCATTTCTTATCAAGCATTGTTGCCTCCTCCTTTATTTCCCCTTCCCATCCCATCCCCTCCCCCCCATCTCACCCCTTCCCATCCCATCTCCCACCCCAACCCCAGAGCCAAAGTTGTAAAGCTCATTTTTTTTGTCGGTCGTGGGGCTTGAACTCTGGGCCTGGGCGCTGTCCCTCAGCTCTTCAGCTCAAGGCGAGCGCTCTACCACTTGAACTACAGCACCACTTCCGGTTTTCTGGTGGTTTATTGGAGATAGGAGTCTCACAGTTTCTCCTGGCCGGGCTGGCTTTGAACCGCGATTCTCAGATCTCAGCCTCCTGAGTAGCTAGGATTACAGGCGTGAGCCACCAGCGCCCGGCTGTAAAGCTCATTTTCAGCATAACATCTTATACATCTCATTGTTGCAATGGGTCCACTTGTATCCCTATTTAAACAATTTGTTTTTTCCCTTCCCCTCCATAAATTATACCAACATCAAATACAGTGAAAACAGGGGTTATACCATGGGGAAGGGACATACACAGCAACAAAGAAATATCTTATAAATATGTTAGAAGCAATAGCAAGAAAGAAAAAACATTTGAATCCTTATCCTGGGGTTCATTTCGCCTAACATCAACTTGTCTGACTGTTTCTGCTTATCTCAGACATATACTAGTAATTGCAAATAAGGGAAACCATGGAAGCTATGTTTCTTTGGTACTAGCTTACTTCACTTCATATAATTTTTTCCAAGTCTTTCCATTTCCTAACAAATGGGGCAATGTCATTCTTTCTGATGGAGGCATAGAATTCCATTGTGTATATATACCACATTTTCTTGATCCATTCATCTACTTACTTTTTTTTATTTAAAAAATTTTTTTTGCTGGTCCTGGGGCTTGAACTAAGGTTGTAGGCACTGGCCCTGAGATTTTTTTGCTCAGGGTTAACTCTCTACAACTTGAGCCATAGTTCTACTCTGGCTTTTTTTTTTTTTCTTTTTGCTTATGTGGTACTGAGGAATCAAACCCAGGGCCTCAGGCATGCAAGGCAAGCACTCTACCACTGAGCCACCTTCCCAGCCCATCTGGCTTTTTTTTTTGGTGATTAAAGATAAGAGTTTCATAGACTTCCCTGCTCAGTCTGGCTTTGAACTGCAATCCTCAGATCTCAGCTTCCTGAGTAGTTAGGATTACAGGCATAATATAATTGTTTGCTTCTTACTTCATAGACTGTCTTTGTCGGAAACTTCTAGATCTGACTCAGTTTTCCCCTTAGATAATTTCAGTATGTACTGGAAAGCCTGGGATGACCTTGCACTATTCTCTAACAAATTGAGAGATTTCAGTTATACTCCAATACTACACTCCAGGGTATGCTCAGTCATTTAATACTAGATTATTGAGCCTCTCCTTGGTCTTTAGAAACAATGGAATGATGCTAGGTACTCCTTATCAAACATTTGGTGTGCTGTAGTCCCATGACATTTAGCATAGCAATTAAAACACTTGCTTTCCTATTAAATAGACTTCATTATATTTTCTAAATGAGAGCTAAACATATGGATACCTTTTCCTTTTTCTTTATTGCAATCATGATCATATAATCTGAATATAATTTTTCATAACCTAAGCTATGTTCATCTTTGGAGTCTCTATCCCCCAGATCATTCCAGTATTGTTTGTAATTTTACTTGCTAAAATCTGTGATATATCTCTAATTTTATCATTCTTGATTGTTGCAGACTCCTAAAACACTATTCCCAGTTTCTTCTTATGTTGCTTGTATGTTTATAAATCAGTTTTTTCCTTTTGATAATCAGAATTAACTATTCTGTTGAAGCATCCTTACTACTTCCACAGTCATTGTTGGGATTAAATGTGACCTCTTTCCATCTTTCTCTACTTTGAAGCAGAGTGAATATTCTAGAGAAGTCCATGGAATATAATTGTTATGTTTTTTCTTTATTCTGTTCTTTTACTTGTTAATTTTTCCAACTTTAAAAAAGTATCCTGAATTTTTACTTTCTTCTTAGTTGATCAGGACCAAATATTAAAATACTATTAGATCATTTTTCATTCTTTACAACTTCTGTTTTTTATTTATAATATACCTAATATATATTTGTATAGAAGAATATATATAATGTACACATAATTTACAAATAAGTATACATATATTAGAGGTGAGTACTCAAAAATTTTTGCCATAATGCATTTCTCAGCCAGTACCTGTGGCTTGGGCTTTTAATCCTAGATACTATAGAGGTGGAGATTGGGAAGATGCATGGTTTGAGACCATTGATACCCAACATCAACCAGTATCTGGCTTGGTGATACATGCCTATTATCCCAGCTACAGCAAGAAACTTAGATAGGAGGATTGTGGTCCAGACAAGATCAGGCAAAAAGGGCGATACTTTCTCAAAAATAAACAGCTAAAAGAGCTTCAGGCATTGCTTAAATAGTAGAGTACCTGTTTGGCAGGTACATGCATTGTACTTATAAACTGATTTGTCTAATTGAAACCCCTTTGCACAACTACCTAATGATAACCATAAATAATAAAGAATTTCTAAATGTCAAAGTCAAATAGATTACAGAAAATTTGAGTCAAATTAATTAACTATAATCAGTTACCCAAATTGTGATCTCTGGTTAATTATTTATTTTTTGTGCCAGTTTTGGGACTTGAACTCAAGGCCGTGTGCTGTTGCTGTCCCTGAGCTATTTTTACTGAAGGCTAGTGCTCTACCACTTTAAGCTGCAATGCCATTTCACTTTTTATTCGTTAGAGATGAGTTTCATGGACTTTCTGCCTGCGCTACCTTTGAACAGTGATCCTCAGATTTCAGCCTCTGAAGTAGCCAGGATACCAGGAGTGAACCATTGACTCTCAGCTCCATTTAGTTTTTTGTTGTTGTTGTTGGTCATGGGGCTTGAACTCTGGGCCTGGGTGCTGTCCCTCAGCTCTTCAACTCAAGGCTAGCACTCTACCACTTGAGCCACAGTGCCACTTCCAGTTTTCTGAGTGGTTTATTGGAGATAAGAGTCTCACAGAGTTTCTTGCCCTGGCTGAGTAGCTAGGATTACAGGCGTAAGCTCCCGGCACCTGGCCTGTTTAGTTTTGTTACTATACAAGGCTTGGTCTTAGACAACATTTCTTCCCCTTGGAATTTGTATTCACCCTTCTTTGTTCTTTTTCTTATGAAGAAAGTCTGTATCAGTTGTCAGAAGTTATTTTTCATTATAAATACTTATATTAGTTATTTGTGTATATTATTTGTCTACAATGGACTTGAAGATACTCTTCCTTGGGTTCTTTACCTTATAGTATGGATTTAGACCGGTTGCTTTGTTTAAACTATTCACAGATATCATCCTAGATTTTCTTTTCATTATCTTCCAGAACTTGTTCCACACCTTCTAGGATTCCACATGTGTTCCTTTTCATTTTGATGGATTATTATTTTCTACTCTTTTCCTCAGAAAGGATGCAAAGGTGGCATATGCCTAAGCTGTTTTGCATTTTTCTTTCTGCTTGATATTTCAGCAGTATGTAAAACATACATGTAGTATCCTTTCGATTCTTTTTAAAGCATAACTTTATTACCTTTTTTTAGCATATAGTGTTGCCACCAGGAGCCCAATGTTAATGTTCCTTTTGCTTCTTCCAGGCTGCATTGTAAAACTTCAACATCATCTGTTTAAACAAAAACTTCATTCTTTTCAGCTTTGGATTGGCTAGGAAAGATTTTCTTTTGGTAGGAAAAAAAGTTCTATTATTCTTTCTTCATTTTAGCACTCTACTAGAGGTTGAACTTTCCAGCCTCTTTAGCCTTTCTTTCTCATATTTTTCATTGTCTTCCATCATTAAGTGATTTTTTAACTTGATTTATGCTATGGTCTGAATGTTGGCATCCCTACACTTTCCAATTCAAAGGTTGGAAGCTAATAACACAGGTCATAGCTTGAAGAGGTAAGGCCTTTAAGGAAGTGACCAACTCATGAGGGTAGAATCATGTGGGATTAAAGAAAGAGCCTCCAACCCCTTCTGCCAAGTGAGAAATAGGGACTCATCAGACACAGAATCTAGGGATACTTTGGTTTTGGACTTTCAGTCTCTACAATTATAAGCAAGAAATGTCGATTTTATAATTTATTCAGTCTGTACTCTCTATTTTATAATAGTACCTCAAATGGTTGAAGACATTTTACTTAGTTGAAAGTTTCAAGTTTGAGTGTAGTTTTCACTCTAATATTTACTTGACTTTTCAAAGTAGTCTTCTGTAATAGAATGACTTTTTAATCTTTTTAATTATATTTTCTAAAGTTACAAATTTAAAAAGTTTATTCAGAAAAACTTTAGACATTTCTGTTCTTTGCATTATCTTTGTTTTCTTTGGTGTATTTATTTGTTCTTCTTTTCATTTGATGTTGATGTTTTCCTTCACATGTATGATCGTTCATGTTTGTGTATGAAGATCCATGTTACTACATATAGGTATGTTACTCCTTTGAATTTGCTTTGCATTTTGTGTATTTGTTTACCAGAATGTTACCTCCCTTTGTGGAATGATTTGCCTGAGGGACCTAGCTACAGGTTTTCCTGAA